AATCTCACACGAAAACAAGAGAGTTCAGAGTTCACTGTTTTGTCTGTGTCAGTGAAAATAAACTAAGGTGAAGGTTTTGACAGTAAAAGTAGAGAATTATACCTATGAAAGTGTATTATTTACTAGTGATTGTAGTCAAATGGCGTCACTTGCTCGAGAGAATGTCATTCGCAATACTTGCCAAAAAAATTGCACTTTGTAACTTCACTGGTGGCAGCTTGTTTCTATGGAGATGTTATTACTTTGTCAGAAAGGTTCCACAATATTGCATCTTGAAAAACATGGATTCTTACTGTAAGCAGGGCTGCCATTCCACTGATCTGACCTGTAACTTGACCTGATGGTGTCATCTGCTTCTCTCCATGAAGATATTATTAGTTTAATGCCGTACTGCAGGACTTTCTTAGCCCGGCTGCCGCCACCTAGTGCCTCTGGATAATTTCTTTTCTCTCCAGCGACTAAGTCAGGAATCAGAATACACTAGACGGTTTGCAAACTCAAGCTCCTGTCTGGGTCCGTTTTGTGGTACAGCACAACAGTAAACAAAGCAGTTGCGATGGATGTAGACGAAGACAGACATTCTGTGTTGGCAACGATTCCCGAGATCGAGGATTTAAAGCCGGAACAAAGAGAATTTTATCAAGGGTAAAGACATTATTGCCCTTCTTCCTACAGGATTTGGCGCATTACATATGTCACGACCAAACAGCAGCGAGTGGTTAAATAAAAAAGTACTCGCCTACAGTAGAGTGAACGAATCCTAGTGAAGTGAAACTGCAGTAACATTTCCATTGAGACAAGGAGGTGACAGACCCCCGCTGGAAAATCTTTAAAGGTTTCACTACAGCCGTGTTATAATGTTGTTACCTCCTCAAAAACATACCTGGAGTTGTGTTTTGTTTCATTCTTGCATGTTTGAGTAATTATGCCTTATCATTAGTCTGTCCACATCTCCAAAACTGAAATGCTCTGTTCCACCTTGTGATGTCATGTGGTAGTCTGAATTTATTTGTTTGGAGGATAAGCCCCTTGAGATGTTTCGTCGTCTTGTTTTCGAGGGGATCCTCATAATCACAACAACAGAAGACAGATACAGTAGGGTAGAGAGGAGGCTACATAAATTCAGAAAACAAATAAACAAACAGAAAAACACACACGTACACACACAATGAGTATTAGACACAAAATAAGTCAAATTTGAGCAAAAAACAAAAACAGAGGTCAGATATAGTCACAAAATACAACAAGATGAACAAGAAAATTCAACAAGATGATCAAAAACAATTAAATGTGTTATGTAAATTTTGCACCAGTGCATTTTTAGATGAAGGTACAGAAATTAATGCACAAATCCATTTAGCTTTATATTTAAATGAGTGGTTTTTTTTTTGTTGTTTTTTTTTGTTTTTTGTTTTTTTAGTTTTTTTGTTTTTGTTTTTGTTTTTTTTAGTGTTTTTTAAATATTTAAATGAGTGTTTGTTTGTTTGTTTTTTTATATTTAAACGATTAGTTTTTTCACTTTTGGGACAACAAAAATATTTGATCTGTGTGGTATAGACTGAATAAATAGTGTTTGAGATATTCAGGATCACAGAGATGAATGCATTTAAAGATAAATAATAACCAGTGAAGTTGACGTCGGGAGAACAGAGTGAGCGGGACAGATGGTGGTACATCATGCAGTGGTGAATTCTGAAGAGACACTGGAGAATAATATAATAGTTCTCAAATGAACAGCTTCTTTTGCGTTTTGTTGAGTAGAGATGAAGGGCTGAAATTATCCAAATGATTCTAGTGAAGGTGTAAGGATTTTAAAAAAAAAACAACACACACACAGTGGAGCAGGATTTGTGCTTTAAACACATGTGAATGAAACAAAATACAACTCCAGGTCTGTTTGTAACGAGGACAAGTGACACAAACCTCATATGACTGACCCGTGTTTTCATGTACACACACATATACCAGAGCTGATGCGTTCAAATACACACATACAAACAGACAAAAAACACCTCCCCTCACGGCCGCCTTCATGATAAGGATGTCAAGTCAGCAGTGCGTCTTTGAGCTTTCACGATCTTCTGTTTGGTCACCAGATCCTCCATCCTGGTGCGTGTTGACACTACATGAGCTAACATGAAAGGGACTTATGGCAGAATAACAGGAAAGTCTATGTCAGGCCAGTCTCGTACAACACAATTGGAGTGTGAGAGTTTGACTGGCCTTGACCGTAGAGGCAGTGGGAAGCATGGTGTGTCACTGTCCTCCCAGAGACCAGAGGGGGATGGAGCTGGGGAAGCTGGTCTAATCTTGGTGGGAAATGAATATCTGGTATTACATTTGCTGTTTTGGAAATATGCAAAAGTGGAATATTAATCGGTCAGTCCATATGAAATCAGACGTTTTCAAGGAATCTCCCCTATGAGCCATCTCAGATTTGGCTGAAAAATATTCACAAAATGTCTAAAATCACCAAATGAAAGAATCTCAAATTTTAGCTCAATGCCTTAAGTCCTTCCTAAGTTATGGTCTGAAATATTGGGGCCATGCTCACTTTTTTGGAAGCCTTAATTTTTAAGCATGTTTGAGAGACCATAACTTCATAAAAAATAGAGCTAAGAAGCTGAAAATGTGTATTATTGTAGATTTTTGGTCATAGATTCCCACAGTGCCCCCCTTAATAAAGATACCCAATATTTGACAAGGGATTCAGAAACATGCTCATAAATTAAGGCTTCTGAAAAAGTGAGCATGGCCCCAAAATTTCAAGAATGACTCAAAGAATTGAGCTAAAATTTAAGATTCTTTAATTTGGTGATTTTAGAATTTTTTTTGAATTTTTTCAGCCAAATGTGAGATAGCTCATAGGGGAGAGCGACTGATTTCATATGGACTGACCCTAAAGGTTCTATAATACATAAAGTTGACTCTTGTGAGCACATGTTTGAGTAATCCTTTAATATTTCTGATTTTATTTATTTGTAAAACGACAGCACATATTAATGAACATTAAAAATTTAAATATGTAAAGATTAAGGCCAGCGTGGTTCATTTCTATCTTCAGTCCCTCAGAGGGTTGATGTAAAATAATCTACAGGACAGAAAAAAGTACAATCAATCACACAAAAGTACATAAAACCAGCACACTCACTATACATGCAAATAAATGTCAAACAATTCATTTGAATTTCAAAGTCAAGAGTTTAAGAGTTATACCAAGCTTTAAACCAACAACCTCTCAATAAAAAAAAAAAAAAAAAAAAAATTGGTTAAACATGGTAACATGAACAACCACTGTTTTTTTTTTTTTGTTTTTTTTTTAAGCTTTAGAAAATGCTGCAGTGTTGAAAGTTCTCGTATATGAGCACACACTGTATTTCATGTTTGAGCTGCTCGATAAGCAACAGAGAGCTGTCCAAAAGTACTTTTCCTAAACGGCACAGAACAGTCACTTGTAGAACTGCTCTTGTTGTGTTATTTGAATTTCTTTTCACAAACTTCTAATTCCTGTATATAACTCCTATAATTGCCAAGTTTGTCTTATTATTTCTTATATGATGAAAATGTGATATGTATCTGTGTACATCTCCAAAGCTCAAAATACTCCGTTCCACCTTGTGATGTCATGAAGCGGTAGTTTTCAATTTAGCAGCAACATTTTGATTTGAGTTCAGCAGAGATTGGCAATTCCAGGGCTGAAATGATCCAAATGATTCAAGTGAAAGTGTATTTCCTGTATTACCACATGACATCATAAGGTGGAATAGAGTGTTTTCTGTTGAAACAAAAAAACAACTGCATGTATGTTTTTGATAAGGAAACATTATAACTGAAAATATATTGCCAATGCTAAAGAAAAGTGTAAGAACATGCAGTTTCATTTCAAAAAGAGTGTTAGGATATTTCAGCACTTTCCTGTTTAATTTTACTGTCTATTTACATTTGTGCTGCATATGAACCTTTACCTAAATGACTACAGACCTGTTCAAGCAGATTTCTGATCAAATACTGCAGTAGTGTCGATATGTTGTCATCAAAATAAAGATATATATTTTTGTCAGTATTGTCCACCTATAGGTCTTATGCATTTATAAATACATTTTCAACGTATGCTACTTCCAAAGCTCTTTTCTGTGGCTGTACTCATGCACTCACCAGATGGTCTGCACAATAACTATATAGGACACATAATGAGGTTACATTATGGAAGCTCATATGTTCAATGTTCATCTCGAAGCCATTTTTAATTGCATAAAATGACGAGATGTTTTACAGTGAATGTATTGCCAGTGGTGTAGATGAAAAATGAGAGAGAAAAGAGAAAGATGTACCAAAACAAGTGTCAGTTTAGCCACTTCTAGGGCTGTTAATAGAAGTCAAGTGATTTTTACTGCTTATTTAGACTATATTTTTGCCATTTATATTGTTACTCTTTGTTGTTATAATATATTGTGATGTGTGAGCTACTGTGTCCAGATTTCCTTCATGGATCAGTGAAGTCTGTCTAAATCTAAAATACCCAGATTATAACTGATAATAAAACAAGTGTAAGTGTAAATACTGACATTAATCGCGTAAGAACTATATTGAAATAAAATCTGAACTCACAATGTTAATAAAAAATGCTCTTGTTTAGACACAGAACAACATTGTACTCACAAAAAACTAACAAATTGTAATGACGAGATGTTATTTTAATCATAAGTATCGCGTAATCAGGAAATACTATCTTGCAGTTCAGTGTTTTATGTTTAATACAATGCTTCTGTATTTAGACAATAGAATTCTAAATAATGGACATTTTTATGTTATCACGTGGTCTTAAATAAGGTCTGATAAAACTCAAGATTTAGGAAAGGTTAAATATTGTCTTGCATGTTTGTATTGATCCTTGCTCAAATAACGATGCAATATCTGATTGTTTGACTCTTTTGACACCGATCCCACAGCACCATTGACCTGACTCCACACACTAACCCTCGTGCGCTTGTGTGTTTCAGTTTTGACGTGGAGAATGGCCCCTCGGCGAGCTGTAGCCCCCTGGACCCTCAGGCGTCCCCGGGCTCAGGCCTCGTGCTTCACACAAACTTCCCCGGACACAACCAGCGCCGCGAGTCCTTCCTGTACCGCTCCGACAGCGACTATGACCTGTCGCCCAAGTCCATGTCCAGGAACTCGTCCATCGCCTCCGAACTGTAAGGACACAACCATTCAAACACAAACAGAGGAGTCAAGGAGCTGTGCCTGATTTTTACTGTCTTAAAAATGTGAAAAACACAACTAGTTCATTTTAAACAGTTTAGTGGTCCAAAATTAATCCTCATTTACTTTATGCATTTCAAGCATCTGGATTATATAACATGATAACAGAGTAAAGACTGACTGTGACAATAAAGCTAACAACAACTAGCACTTCCCAACACTTTATAATTAGATGCAGACTGGAGTCAGCAGAGAGCTGCTCTCCTCAGATGACATCTCATCTATTGCTGGTTTCAGATCACATCACACCATTCTATAGTCCAGTGTTATTTAATACAGATGGGGGCAGCTAAAATTAATATTTTTCAACTGCAGATATTTGTTGAAAAATAGCAGAGTCTTGGGTCTAGTCAATAATAGAAATGATCAGGTTCCATATTTGGGAATTTACCTTTCCGACTAGAACTAAACCAGGACTGAACCAGGACTAATCTTGGGCTTTGGTGATCAGGCAGTGCGGGCTGCTGGTCCTTTCACCCAGCTGGTCACCCAACGGTCTACGCAGGCACACCTCCGGGCCCATCCCGACACTCAGTCAGGTTCAGTTCTGGTTCAGTCCTGGTTCAGTCCTGGTTCAGTCCTGGTTTAGTCCTGGTTCAGTCCTAGTTCAGTCCTGGTCCCTCATGTCTCAGTTCTCTATAGGACAGTAGTGCAGACATCATGAGCCTATGCAGGTTGTTTTCACCATTGCCAATAGCTCCGGTTGGACATTTAAGTTGTAGCTATTTTATATTTGTTATTTTTTATATTTCACTTCGGGAGAAGTGGGTGGACGGTGTACCCCGCGTACCCCGCCCACTACACCCCTGATCATGTTGATGCACTGTGTAGTTTGGCTTTATGTGAGGCTTATGAACACTACTGTTGTATGTGTAACAGCATTCTAACTATTGTGTGTAATGTCACAGAATAGTTATAATGCACAGCGGTGTGGACAGTAAAGAGATCATTTCATTGTTCAGGGCAAGGCGTTTCCTTACTGTGCACATGTCTATATGCACTTTCAATCTTGAATCTAGTGCCCTGACTTTAAAATGTTTGCCTCCCCTAGTGTAAAAGTCAAACTCTGCCTATGGTAATCTAGGTCAAATAGGAAATACTGGCTCTCGCCCCCCATTTGAGAGTGTGACATCAGCACATTCAAGAACCTGAAACCCACCAATAGGGCAATAATATTTAATACAGAAGGGAGCAGCTAAAATGAATATAGATAAAATGCAGATTTGTGTTGGTAGATGGTAGGTTATAGGGTCTAGTCACTGATAGAAATGATCGAGTTCAACATTTGTAAATTTCCCTTTTGGATATTTCACAGGAAAGTACATTGTAATCAATATGAAAAACAGGAAAAACAGGCCCCATCTGGAAGTATCACAGCATCACATTTTAGAATCTGAAAACCACCAATACAATATATCTGTATTGGGGCAAGACACATTTGGCTTAAATACTTAGAGGGAAAAATGGATACAGAACATAGACTGTATATATAAATGGACGTATCTAACGCTCTAGCTGCCGCGTTCCAAATAAGAAGTTCTCATGTGGGCTCTTCCCGCTCCTACTGACCCTGGACACTGGAATATTGTTTTCCCCTCTTTCTGTAACTGCTGCTGTGAGCCTCATCATTTTGGTCTTAAAATGTTCGTATTAACCTGCTCTACATGATCCTGGTGTTTTTTTTTTTGTTTTTTGTTTTGGCCTGACTCCAAATTCGCTTCTGTAACCTGGATCTATAATAAAAACTGAATAAGGCATTCCTCGTCTTTCTCGGCTCCAGACCGACTAGTGGCCGCTCCAGGTACTACAGCCCCTGGAGTTTGGGCCTGGAAAGAATTCTCCCATAGAAGCTCAATGCATTTTTAAGGGAATTTAAACTGCTTGCGTTCGGATGACAGGGCATCTACAACTTTCACGAAGGTCGGATTTTGTAGGAATTCTTTTCTATTTTCACAACATACACTTTAAAAATGTTTAAGTCCTCAAAATGCCTAAAAGTGACCATTGTAAGATTTAGCGTCGCCCGGCTCTGAGTCCACGCTGGCTCCGCCGTCAACTCTCGCTCTGATTGGTCCACACGCTCCACGCCGTGCATGTTACAGACGTCACATGGGTGGGAAGAGCTCACCCGTAAATGTGGAAGAGAAAATTTTCGGGGGCCCACGCGCCATTAAGCACAGACCACTGAAAACAATACGACACCATCTTGGATTCATCTTCCAGATTTTATTATGGCTCTGTGATGTAACCGTTTGCATCGCGAGCTTCATTTGACTGGAGCTGAACGCTGGGGGTGACGTCACACTCGCTTCGTCCACTTTTGTATACAGTCTATGGTACAGAACCCATAAGGTGTAGCCAAGAATATTTACATTCACAGTGAATTCATGTACTCATTTAGGCAAATACAGGTTATTCTAGTTTGAGATATTTATTGTACAGATGTCACAATACAACATTTTAGTTTTATGGTTTGTCCAAAAAAAAAAAAGCACATTTACACTAAACAAATTGAAATTGTTAAATCACTTTCACATCACTTTTTAACAGTACATCAACAGTCACTACACTTTTACACTGGGGTTGAGTTTTTAGTGTAGCTTGAATTGAAATGACTTTTTGCTTCTAAAATGAATCATAATTAGCTCTTCTCAGTTTAATTTTCCAGTATCTGACAAGCTCACCTTATTTCCAAATAACTTTCCCAGAAGACGACTCTGACTAGAGACTTGTGCAATTTAGCAGCATTTCCCAAGAACATCATAACATAAAAAAATATATGACTGTTTAGCCCAATCATTAGCTACTTTATATCATTTAGTTTTGCACGGTGCCATACAAGGTTCTGCTCTATGTCTGTGACCCGTAACCAGCTTCCTCTCCATTTTAGGAATCAGATTGGTCAAAACATTTAGTGCTTAATCACAACTGTAACTCCAGGGAGACAGAAAATAACATTTACTCCGTTACTCCGTTGTAAATATACTGCATATAAAAGATAATCTAAATATTTAAAGCCCATATAACACCACTTTTTTATGTTGTACTCACACATGTTTAACTCACAAAGCCTGCGTATTTAGGCTGAGTTCCTCCTTGTGATGTCATGTGGTAATACACACACTTTCACTCGAATCGTCTGGATATTTCTGGCCGTGGAGTTGCCTTTCTCTTAGTAAAAAGTAAAAGGTAGCTGTAAACTTCAAAACTATCGCTACATCACAAGGTGGAAGAGAGCACACTGTAAACCCGAGTAAGTTACCAGAACTCAAAAAAACTGAGGCAATCGATTCGATTATTTTAATTTGATGAACTTAAAAGCCACAATCTTCCAGAACTTAAAAAATCGGATGGTTTACTACTTGTACTTTTTGATAACACCTGAATTAAAAGTGCTCATTTAGCTCAACTTAAATATTTGTAATACATGAGTTTTCAAACCACTGAAATTATTTAATTCATTTAAAATTTTATATGTAACCCATGATTTTTGTACACACACTGTATACACAGTCCAGCATATCCAGCTGTATCTACACACATTATAATATACATATAGACACGTCATATTATACACACATTATACACACATTATACACACCATAGTAGGGCGATTTAAACCCAGGTCCCCCATGTGAAAGTCTGGGGATTTACTAGTCTAATCAATATTATATCATGTGTTTATAGTTTAATAATACATACATACATACTTACATTACACATTATGGTATACTGTGACAAAGAGGGTCTTTATCCCCATTTTTTTCACTTTTCGTTTCATTTACATCTATCTCCAGTCAACTAACCAGCTAAATAATACTATCCCGGGTTTGTTTTATTTAGTCTTTGTTTAGTTGAATTAATCACTATGCACACAGTTACTTGAAATTCATTTTATTAGTTTATATCTATTCATTTTGCTTATTAACTTACCACCTTACCTGTGACTCCACATGGTCTGGGGACAAAACAGGGGGCGTGTCTATCGGCGGCCATATTTAAAGGCTCTGTTGAAGGTGTTGGCCCAGACCATGTGGAGGGAAGCCTCAGATTCAGTTCTTTTTGTGTTATGAAATTGGTTTGTAGGATTTTGTTTCAGTGTTTCTAGTTTATTCGGAGCACGGTTTAATTTAAAGGGGGATTTAGGCCCTCAGCCAAGAATCTTGTGTAGCACACCAAAAAAAACAAAAAACAGGGAAGTAAGTCCAACTAACCTGTGAGATGGTGAGGACCCAGGGGGAGGGACTTCCTTTCTGGGAAGTATAAAAGTGGAAGCAGTTTAACCAGTCAAGGTGAATCACCATCAGTGCAGCCGGGTGTCTGTGGGGTATTTTCTTTTGTTTTGTCAATTTCTGTTACTTTTGCTTTATTTAAGCACAGTTATTTTGTAAATATGTATTTTCATTTTGCCCACAACTCGGTGAAGGATGAAATAAATATTTTTTGGTAAAGGGAAATTTTTCCGTCTGCCTCCTTCTTCGACCACTTTGGCCAACTTCCCCACATATACATATAGTACATTATTATTTTTTACATATTATTTTTAACTACTTCATTCTAAGTTGTACCTCATCTATGTTTTTAAGTTACGCTCAGTTATACCCACAATAGTTTCCTTTAATCAAAAAATATGAGTTAAAATTACTCAATAAGTAGAAAATGTTACAGGGACTATTTCTAAAACTTTGAGTATACGCTACTTAATCTATTTGATTACTTTGAACGTTCGGGTTTACAATGCATTTTGAGTTTTCAAGATGCAGAAAGTCTGATGAATGAAACAAAACACAACTCCAGATATGTTTTTGATCAGGATTCTAACATGACTTAAAGCTTAAGTAAAGTAAATTTGGCATAATACAGGACCTTTTATTGACATGTTTTGTGTTCCTTGTTTTTCAGACATGGCGATGACTTGATAGTAACCCCATTTGCTCAGGTAATTTTTTTTTTCTTAATTTGTAATATGAGAAAATATCAGCAGTGTCTGTTTCTTTCTATTGTGTACTCTAATGTCATGGTTGGAATCTGCTTTAGTGTTGTGTATTAATTATGTACCTCTTCTTGTGTAGGTTTTGGCCAGCCTTCGAAGTGTGAGGAATAACTTTACAGTGCTCACCAATGTCCAATGTGCCTCCAGCAAGTAAGTCCTTTAAAACTACATCTTTTTAGCAGTAACTTATGTAACCTGTTAGTGGGTTTATCATCATTTTTAAATCTGTTACGACATTACACTTAAATATCTTACATATTTGCATTAAAAGTTGCCATTATACAGGTGTACTATGTCACTTTTATGTTGGAGGTTTTGCCATCTGCTCGTCTCAATTGAGATGTTATTGCTTTGCCGTGTCGAGGCTTCGAAGCATGTGCTGAGTAATCCAGGAAGGTTTTGGTGAAGTGTGTATCAAGGCTTGTATTGGTAACATATGTGATGACGTTTAATCCGTGTATCATTCATTCATTCGTTTTTCAATATAAAACCAAAAATAAGAAAATGAAAAAACAACAGTTTTCTTCGTTATTTGTCTCCAAAACCAAAATGAAAAAACGGATAACGATTCGTTTTTTCAGTTTTCGATTTTGTGTTTAAATGAAGAATGGAAAAAAACGGATAACGGCCATTTCCCGTTTACGTGACTTCCGTGACTGCGATGCCGGACTTTTGCACCGCATACGGACTGAACTAGGACTGATCCAGGTCCGAGACCAGAGCAGGACTGAGACTGGGACCAGACCGGGACCAGAGCGGGACTGAGACCGTTTTTTCGTTTTCTTATTTTTGGTTTTATATTGAAAAACGAATGAACGAATGATACACGGATTACGTTTGACATTCGTAGATTTGGCTCACGATTCGAAACATAAGGGCCAGTGAAATGCAATAAATTCCCCCTCACATTTTTTGCGATGGAGCCAACAAGAAAAAAAGAATATTTTCCCCTGTATACCTTATTAGGAGATATCAGCTCAAATTGTTCCAGGCGTGTCCAGACTTTTTTCGTCAAGGGCCACATATCTAAACACAGATTAAGCAGAGGGCCGATCGAGGGCCGTAGACTGGTGCTCAGTACAGTGAATAATTGAAATATGTGCATGTTTATCTTGTTAGAATGAGCCATCAGTCTTTATTCATGCTAAAATCCTTAAACTACACACGGAAAATTAAATATTAGCTTTATCAAGGTAGATTTTCAAAAAACTTGCAGCAAATAATAATTTTTTAATTGATGCAAGGTCATTTGCATCCCTTCACAGCCCTTCACAGGTCTGTTTCTTCTCCCATTAAGTTGTATTGACGCAATTTAGAGTTTGGGGGTGGAATTGCAACAGTGATCATTGAATTCTCCGGTTGTTCTTCTCGTCAGTTGATTGACAGAACAGGGGCCGGTCAGATTAAAGGTGGGACCAGAAACCTTGTGGCATCTCCGCTAGAACCGCCCCTGTTGACCTGTTTCTTGACCCTGCTTGTCTCTACAAAGATGCGTTTAATGCCATACTGTGAAACATTATAGGAAAAGCATTAACATGTCCATGAAAACAAGCAGATGACTGAATCTCTTCTATAAAGTTACATATTGCAACTTTAATTAAACAACACGCAAAAAAAAAAACCCAAACAAAACATACTACTATTTTCAGCTGGTCCCATAAACTTCCATTGAAAAAAATGAAACCTGTAGTTATTCTGAATCACCACCAGAGGGAGGTACAGGCCTTATAATGTGTAGAGTGGCTCTGCAGTCCCTTTCACTTGAATTTCAAAACATCCTTTACACAAACCGAGAAATAGTGTGTTGAGCAACAATATACAAGGATGTGGTTAACTCTTATTAGCATTATGCGGTTATGAAATTACTGCAATTCATAACTTACTGGAATCAAATAAAAAAAATATTCAATTTCTCAATAACAACTTGCTTCAATCTGATGTCTGTTGTGGCTCAGGCTATTTCAGAGCTCATTACTCATATATTTGATACGAATTATTGGAATAAATTAGTGACCGCCGTGTCGTATTTCCACATCTAAATTCCAGACACCTTCTCTAGAATCATTAAGAAATATTTCAGCCCTGGAATTGCCAAACTTTATGAACTGAAAGTAAAAGGTTAACTTGAAAACTACTGCCTCATGACATCACAAGGTGGAACAGAGCATTTTGAGCTTCGGAGCTGCAGACAGATGAATAATAAAGGATTAATCAAACGTGTGAATGAAATAAAACACAACTCCAGGTTTGTTTCTGAGGAGTTAACAACATGATAACATGGTTTAAAGAGTCGATTCTTTGTAATATAGAACATTTAAAGTGGCACTATGTTGCATTTCCGGTGGGAGGTGTCTGCCGCCATGGAAACGTTATGTTCCGCAGTATCGTATTAAACATATCTAACATGCATTCATTCAAATATAGGTTTTTATTGTTCAAATATACCTTGAAAAACATGCATTTTTACATTGAGTGAAGCCAAATCTCAGCAGACTGCGTCACCTGCTTGTCTCCATGGAGATTGATATGTTTAATGATATACTGTGGAACATTCTATACAAAGCAATGAACTCTAGAGACACGCAGGACTAACCTTCGTCCAGAAAAGCCACAAGTTTAACTCATTTAAACACTACATGTTTTATTCAAGAACATGTTATGAAATACAACACCAATGGAATAGTCTTTTTAACTTATTGTCCCCAAACACACCACGGATGCGGCCATGCGATTGGGTAATACCTGTTGCCATGGCAGCAGTGATGGGGGCTGCGTATTAGCGTTATGTTCCCGCGGTTACAGTAATGGTGAGGTAAGGAGTGTGTAATCCTATGTGTCACTGCTGAGTCCATACAAATCAATAGCAGCCTGTCTGTAATGTCATTCAGACCAGTACTGCGTCCACATGTCAATGCATTTGGACTAAAGGACAAGAGACTGGGAGTCACACGGGCTGGGGAAGGGGGTGGGTGTTCAATCTTTCTTCTGCCTTCTGCCTGACAAGAGATTTTCAATAAATACATTAAAAAAGCTCTGGTCATATTCCAAAAATGATGTCATCGGGCTTTAAAGGTCCTAGTGATAGTTTGCAGTGACCATGATCATGCTGGGGTTGCTACATGTATCTCTATAGTAGAATGTTCAGTAGTTGCTACGGTGACAAGATTTAAGATGGTCTGAAAACTCAAGGAAATAATAATAAAGAATAATAAAGGTCAGATTAAAGTCTAACTTGAGTAACAGAGCTTCAGACAGAGCAGTGTCTACAGTTAGTATCACACAAAAACAAACCTGGAGTTGTGTTTCAATCACACATTTTTGAGTCATCTTTCATTACCTCCGCCAAGGAGGTTATGTTTTTGCCGGCGTTTGTCTGTTTGTTTGTTTGTTTGTTTGTCTGTTAGCAACATAACTCAAAAAGTTATGGACCGATTTTGATGAAATTTTCAGGATTTGTTGGAAATGTGAAAAGGAAGAACTGATTTCATTTTGGGGGTGATCCGGAAGAAATCCTGGATTCTGGATCACTTTGAAATTTTAGTTAACATTGTGGTAAATGGGGCCAAAAATTTAGTTTCTCAATATCTCGGTTAATTATTGACCAAACCCCATGAAATTTGACTCAGGGATGGACAATGGGATCCTCTTTCATATTCCAAAGGCTGATCCGGATCTGATCCAGAAGACTGATTTTATCGCAATTTATATAAAAAATGGGGGTAGTCCTTGGCGGAGGTCTGCGCTCTCTGAGTGCTTTTCTAGTTATTAGTGTGTCTATCTCCAAAGTTCCCAAGCAGGTTTGCAGTTTTGAGTTTTTAAAGCAGGGGCTGAAATAACAAAAATAATCTTGGCTCAATTTTAGCAGGCCTTTTTGGTAAATAAGAGACTAGAGCCTTCTTTTTATTCTTAGTTAGGTTATATACACTCTTATTGGGGTACACAGCTAAAACTGGAGGGTCAAAATTTCAGGGTAAAATATTTCAGAGTTGTTTTTAACACAGAAAGTGTTATTTTAACTATGTAAAGTTAAATGGGGGTTTGAGTTGGGGTTATTTGCCAGAGTTGATATGGTTGAAGTTAATTCAACTTCACTTAGTGTTAATGTAGCACCTCACACCCACCACTTCAAACTCCTGCAAGAGAAGACCAGTTTGAACCAGTTTTGTTCATAATTTCTTCCTAAATGAACTAAAATAAAATGTAAAAATAAAACGCCTCTGTGTGTTGTTTAGCTAAATCAGGATAACTCTACAAAGTGTTATCCGATTACTCTCAAAGCATTAATATAACTCTTGATTTGAGGGTTAAACCAGAACTTTGGTCCAGTGTTTCTTAAATGTTACATTAACTCTAGAACAGCTTAGACTCATTTAAACCCTGAGAAAATGTTCAAATTGATTCATGCTCTTTACAATATTGGAGCATTGTAATAGATCGTGTCTGTCTTGTATGTTTGATGTGCACATCTCTCCATGCCCGTTGGTATAAAGACTTTTTGGATAAAATTTCTATGGAGCAGCTGCTCAGCTGTTGGACACAAAAAACAAACACACTGTTGACCTGTGGACTGTGGCAAAACCCCATCTGGACAAAGCACAGTAAAATAAGAACATCATACCTTTTGGACAATGTCAAAATATATGTGTATGTAAATGCTTGTATAATGTGACGTACCTGTAGGTGCATTTTGGGGTTGCCAAGAACAAATGAACGAAAGATATGGGAAGGGAATAGAACATATGTATATGTATATGTATATGTATATGTATATGTATATGTATATGTATATGTATATGTATTTGTATATGTATATGAATGGAAATTTGATTTGACCGCCCCCCCATAATTTAATTTGTTTTATATACATTCACAAGAGGTCTATGTAGCTTTCATATGATAAATCAATTAATATTTAATCTAGGCCTAGTATTTAAACCAGGCATGTCCAAACTACGGCCCATGGGCCAAATATGGCCCTTGGACAAATTTTTTTTGGCCTTCAGGCTTCCAGGCGAATTGGCCCAAATTACCTTACATCAATTAAAAATGTACTTTTTACTGCAAGTTTTTTGAAAATTTACTTTGATAACGTGAATATTGAATATTTAGTGTGTGGTTTTGAGGATCATAGCATGAATAAAATCTGATGG